GTATCCCTGAGCCGGATCGTTGGCCTCGATCGCGGAATCGTTACGTTTACGCTCGCGTACGCATCGTACCGTGTCGTGTGTAGCAGCGTCGTGTGTACCGCGTCGTTGCACCGTCACGCATTCCGTGACGAGTTTATACGACCATCGACGAGATACTACGTGTGTCGACGTTGTTCTTCGCTATGCTCGAGCGTGCCCCTTCTACTACTCTTTCCGAGCAACTTTTTATTAAATCTACTCGAAGCTTTGACCACGCTAATAGCGCGCACGTTCTCCACGAAGGTTAACTTTTTTCGTTTTAGATGAATTTTACGCGTTACTGAACTTGCCGGGGCTGATTCTTTGAAAATGGAATCATTTATTTCCTGCCTGTCATTGTTGGAAATTGTTTATGACGAGAGTTGTTTAAGCTATTTTGCGATTTTATTGTTTTTGTGGAGGGAGGACTTAGGTATATGGTTTAGCTTGAAAATAATTTATTTTCATATTATATATTTTATATGTATTTTTATATTTTTATATACATATATTAAACGTATTTTGTCAAAGTATATAAAAATATTAAAATGTTAAAACATATAGATATATAAAAATACACAATACATATGTATGTATAACATATGAAAATATTTGTATGCGTACATATATGTAAATTAATATTTTCTATTTATAGTGTGTGCAAAAATAATGTATGTATTTATATGTACATATAAGTTGTAATATTCCCAGTTCATAGTGTATATAAAAATTGTATATTTATTATACATATATGTAAATATAAAATGTAGTATAAAACATGTAGTCTAAACACTTTTTGTCGCATTAATTTATATTCATTTTTTAATTAAATTTATTCAATTTGTAATTTGTATTTTACCCAAAGTTCTCCAAATTACTGAATAATTAAATCTGTAGACATTATTGAAACTTAGGTTAGTTCACCCAACCTTTCATACCAGATTCACGAGACTATACAAAATGGCGGATCTCAGTCTCATCTCAAATTACGGAAATATTCTACCAAAACTTAATCTTCAAAATGAAGAATCATAAACCAGTTCTGGGAGAATCATGAATCAGTTCAATGTTACAAATTTTCAATTTGAATACAAATGCTTATTAATCGTCGTATGTATAAAAATGAAATACTCGAATGACGCACAACCGTGGTTCTATCATAAATCGTTTTCCTCGTTTGCCTCGACAAGCAGATAAATTGTGCATCGTCGCGTTACGGTGCAACTATCGACTACGACACCACTCGAGAATCGACTTACGGTCGCGTAAAAATCACGCCTATACCACTTGCGCGTGGTCGTCTTTGTTTCATTCACCGGCACTACGTGTCGCGTTACGAGCGTATACGTACGCACTCGAGTATGAAGCTCCACCTCTTCAAGGATGAGAGGTCAATCGAGGAGGTGAGACCAAGAGGAAAACGATATGCTTTGCACAAATACAATGAGGGTGAAGGAAAATGGATCCTTGGCGGTTTCTTCTACTTAACTGCGGAATTTCGTTTGAAAGAGTTCGTAATTAGATTCAAATGAGTATACATCAGTACATGAGCATACGTCAAAATATATTTCGGCTGTGAATTTTATTATAAATTTTGTTCTAAATGTTTCTATTATAGATTTTATGACGAATGATTATTTTTTAATTTACATGACAAGTATATACATCACTCACACTACAAATAAAACTTGAGATTAATGAGTGTAGACGTTGAATGTGATTAATTGGACGAAGACCTGAGTTAAGTATATTTTTTCAAATTGATCAATTTTATTAAATTTATTGAAATTATCAAGTTCACCAAAATTTTAAATTTGATCAAATTTATCAAGTTCATTAAATTTATTCATTGAAGTTATCAAGTTCTCAAAAATTTTTAATTTGTTCAAATTTATCAAATTCATTAAATTTATCAAACTCACAAAATTTAAGAGGTTAATCAAATTTATTAAATTTATCAAACTTACCAAATTTATAGAATTGATTAAATTATTAGAATTGTCAAGTTTATCAAACTTGTCGAATTTATCATATTTATCAAACTTATCAAGCTTACCTTTACAGAATTTATTAAATTTATGTAATTTAATTTATTAAACTTTGCAGATACAACGAATTTATCAAATTTATCAGGATCATCAAATTTATTAAACCTATTTGTCAAATTAATTTACCAAATTGATCAGATTTATGAAATTAAATTTTATCACAAATCCCTAATACTATAATTACTAAAAGGGTATGAACCCTTTCAAATCCCCCACCTCAAACTAACCTAACCCTATACATTTTACGTACAAAGATCGCACATTTCTGACAGGAACAAAGTGTGATGACAAGACAATTAATTTCACGTGGAACGTGAAAATGTCACGGAGCGAGGTGTTGATTCGACTAAAAGTTGACTCAAGCCACGTCACACGGTTTCGTAAGAGACTTTCAGAGCCTTGAGTATCGTACCCACCGAATTCAATGGACTTTTAATCAAGCCGAAGGACGCGTAGTACTCCACGTAGTATAGCCGCCGTGTAATTTCACGGTCGAGAGAAAACGAGGGTACTACGACGTACTCGAGCGAGCAGCGCATCCGCGAGACGGAAAGGAAGCAGAAAGCGTACGTGTACGTTTACTACGATCACGCGCGATACACGCGGAGGAAATGAGCGTGTACAGTCAGCAGCAAATCTGGCTATCTTATGGAAAATATGGCAAACGAGGGGGAAGAAATTAGTTGATCGTTCAGTTTTTTACCTTGAAAGTTTTTAGATACGTTGCGCATTTACGAACTTTGGATTTGGGGATTTATGGATGTGAGAGATGAAGGATTTGGAGATTTATGGATGTGGAAACTTAGGGTTTCGGGGATTTATGGATGTGGGAACTTAAGGATTTGGAGATTTACAGGTACGAGAGCATAGGGATGTGGGAACTTAGGGCTTTGGAAATTTACGAGTATTGGAACATAGGGATTTGGGGATTTATGGACGTGGAAATTTAGAGATTTGGAGATTTACAGGTACGAGAGCATAGGGATGTGGGAACTTAGGGATTTGAAAATTTACGAGTATGGGAACATAGAGATTTGGGGATTTATGGACGTGGAAACTTAGAGATTTGGAGATTTACAGGTATGGGAGTCTACAGATGTGGGAACTTAGGGATTTGGGGATTTATGGATGTGGGAACTTAAGGATTTGGAGATTTACAGGTACGAGAGCATAGGGATGTGGGAACTTAGGGCTTTGGAAATTTACGAGTATTGGAACATAGGGATTTGGGGATTTATGGACGTGGAAACTTAGAGATTTGGAGATTTACAGGTATGGGAGTATACAGATGTGGAAACTTAGGGATTTGGAGATTTACAGGTATGGGAGTATACAGATGTGGGAACTTAGGGATTTGGAGATTTACGAGTATGGGAACATAAGGATTTGGGGATATATGAATATGGAAGCTGAAGGATTTTGGAGATTTACAGATGTGTAAGTTTAAGAATTTGGGAATTTATAGACGTGGAAATATAAGTTTTTGAATTCAAAAATATAGAAACTTAGAGATTGGAGGATTTACGAGTATAGGAACTCGGGCATTTGGAGACTTGCAAGTATAAGAATTTAGAGATTCAGGAATGTATGTGGAAGTTGAAGAATTAGGGGATTTACTGATGTGGAAACATAAGAATTTAAGTATTTATAGATGTGAATCTTGAGATTTAAAGGTTTATAGATATGGGAATCTAAAGACTTGGAAATTTGCTGCAATAGAAACTTATGAATTAGAAAATATGGATACAGCAACTTAGGGATTTATCGATTTAAGAATTTGACGACCGGAATTTGAACATTTACGAATTTATAAATTCAGAAATTTTGCAGATACCAAATTTGATTTAGAAAGATAAGGTAGTTATTTGAAGATATGTGAATTTAGGAATATAAGTATTTGATGTCCTTAACATTTGAGTATATGCACATGTAAAAATTTAGGGTTGGAGACACTAGAAAATATAGATTTCCTGAAATTTAATGATTCAAGAACTTGTAAATATAAATGAAGATTTGAAGAATTCGAAGTTTAGGAATTTTAAAGATTTTTATAGAAACGTAATAATGTGAAAATTATCAAACTTAGATATGTCCATATCCAATGCAAAGTTATGTTGCATCCGAGTGTACAGCATGGAAGAAACATGCCAAGTTAAACGTACCTTCCTTAGGTTAGGTTAACGTTTGAATATTTAATGCGTAAACTAAGCATCATGTGCCCACGAATAATATGAAATGTACGCGCTGCAAAGAGGATATATCCTATGTGCACGTATGTGAAATTATTAACATGGGATATTTAACGTGAGGAATATTTCGTTTATATATGAGAAATTAATTGAAGGTAGGAAAGATATTTTATACGTGGAATACATAATTATACTTGCGATAGCAATTATTTATTTCTTGGAAAAATTTCTGTGATTTGAAAATTTTTTAATTTGAACAATTTATACTTTTCATGACTGTAGAATCTGACGGTGAAACATAACACATGTAAGGTATTTTGACCTGACCCATTAATTAGCTGTTTTTATTTTGTAATAAAGTAAAAAATTTAATCAATACTCATCTGAAATAAAATTCAGTCAAAACTTCATCAAAAATTCAGACAATACTGAGAAACGTCAAAATTAAACCTCAACTCGCTAACAATAAACCAAAAAACCGTATCACTACTCTTAAATAAAATTAAAGAATGTAGCTAACAAAAATTCCCATACAAAATAATCACACAGTGCATTAATTTTTCCAAATCGTACAGAGACTGCACATATAAGGAAAAACAAAAATCGTATGATAATACCTATGCATCATTAACGCCCACTATGAAGCACAAATCCACTGTAAAACACGTTCCACGTGTCTCAGTTTGATGTAGGTTCCACATCGTGGAGCAATGAATCATAATCGCATTCTGTTCGATGGTTGCAGAGGTGGGAACAACTGGTCGTCTCGAAGCTGAAATGGGAATTATCTGCGGTGACACCAGGTGACTTCCTGATGCACATCCTGAGCAGACTGCCCGTGCCCGGAAGCTGGGACCCGGTGATGGTCAGGAGGCACGCGCAGACTTTCATCGCCCTCAGCGCCAGAGGTAAATAATAAAAAATTTAGAAAACCGCACACAGGATGTGGACGTAATAAGAAATGATAGCTGGAATGATACCGAACAAGTTTTTCCTCTACCAAAATGTTCGACGAGGCTGAATTTTTGAGTTATTAATGCTTTGACTGCGGTAGTGATGGCTATGAACTGATTTTGATCGTGAACAAGCAAGATCTTACACTTTACTCTTCATTTTTTCCCCCATGAAATTTGCTTTGTATTTATGCTTATAAATATTAGCACATTTTGTAAGTGATAACGCGTTTTATTAATATAGACACATCGATTGATTAATAATATGTTACTGCTGCGGTGTAGATTTGTTTGCGATTGCAGTGAACATCGGTTCATACCCATCACTCTCCTAAGTTTAATATTGGTCGGCCAATCAATTTTTTTCTAAATTCATTTCTAATTTTACTCAACAATAAAATTATTTTATATTTTACATTTGATATTATCATAAAGTTTCTTGCTGAGAAACGTAACAGATTTTTGTGAAAAATAATATGTCGTCATATGGATGACGTGACACGTTCCAAGCATATGGTCGTAAACACATTTTAAGTTTCTCTAATTTTATTAGTTTAGAAGGCATCTGGTGGATACGCTAAAATGGATATCGTGTATTTGATCATGTTAAAATTTTCTGCGTTTTAGATTTCGCGTAAAAATAGACGAACTAACCTTAGCACACTATTTATGGAGCGGCAACGTAAAAGTTTCTTAGAAGCCAGAATTTAAATAATGAAATGTAAACACTCATATTTCACTCCTTGTTATTGTTTAAATATAAATAACACACACTATAATATTCATGAGTTAATTATAATTATGATTGTTGTACAAATAAACAACGTGTATACACTGAGTAAAAATTGTATAAATATTAATTCATGTTAATACGCTACTATTATTGGGTTGAACGAAATAACATCATGGAAATATTGCACTAATTGTAAAACATTGTAACGAGTTGAATTCATTGATAAGAACTTATTACAATTCGTTCTACTTTTCGACAGGAAATCCTTCTGACAAGTTTTTAAGCTTCTTGGCGCCTACAGCCATCATTTTCATAATACTGTAATTGTCGTAGACGCGATAAGAATAATTAACAAGAAAGGTCGTACCGAAGAGTAGCGCATAAATTTCTATCTGTGTTCTAGTTTTCAATCATAACTGCTCGTCAAATTTGAATATTTCAATGAAACGATAACACTCGCTCCTCTTTTTGCAAATTTGCGATACACGTTTTAAAAGTGGATCAAGTCCACTGTTTATAAAAGATAACTTAATACGTCAGCAATCTGCAGCGAAAATAATTATAAATTCCCAATATTTGATCAGGCAATATAATGGTAGTGAAAAGATTATGATAGTGCAAGCCCTTAGGTTCATTTTTCTTTGTCTTTATTATGCAGTATATAAGATATGATATTGTTGCATAGCAATTATGGATAATTGTAGTGAAATTACGAGTGAAGGTTCATCGTGTGAAAACACAGAGCGTAAAATTAAGGTGTGAAAGATTGCAGCGTGGAAAATTACCATGCAAGGGATTATAAGGCGTGAAATTACGACGCAAGGGATTATAACGTGTGAAATTACAACGCAAGGGATTCCAGCGCGTGAATATACGGCGCGAGGAATTACAGCACGTGAAATTACGGTGCAAGGAGCTATGGCGCTAGAAAATTGTCGCGCGAAGAATTACAGTGCGTGAAATTACAGCGCAAGGAATTATAGCGCACGAAGATACGATGTGCAGGGATTTATAGCGCGTAGAGATACGACGCGAGAAATTACAGCGCATGATATTACAGTGCAAAGGATTATAGCGTATGGAATTATCATGCAAGGAATTGCAGCGCGTGAAATTACAGCGCAAGGAATTATAACGCGTGAAGATACGATGTGTAGGGATTTATAGCGCGCAGAGATGCGACGCGAGAAATTACAGCGCATGATATTACAGTGCAAAGGATTATAGCGTATGGAATTACCATGCAAGGGATTACATCGTGTAAAATTAAGGCACTAGGAATTATAGCGCGTGAAGATACGATGTGTAGGGATTTATAGCGCGTAGAGATACGACGCGAGAAAATGCAGCGCAAGAAATTACGGCGCAAGGGATTATAACGCGTCAAATTACCACGCAAGGTATCACAACGTGTGAAATTACGGCGCAAGGATTTACAGCGCGTAGAATTACGACGCGAGAAATTACAACGCGTGAAATTACGATGCAAGGTACTATTGCGTGTGAAACTATGACGCGAGGAATGACACCACGTGATTATACAATGCATGGAAATACGATAAGTGACGGTATACGATTCATGGAAATGGAACACATCAAAATACATCAAATTAATCAATAACAAAAGAATGTTGGAGTCAAAATACGAAGACAATGCAAGTGAAACTGAAATTACAAAAATAACTGAACAACCGAAATATTATCCATGTAATCGACAATTTATTCAGTTTGAAAGTCGATCACATGAGAAATGTTTCGAGAACTTTTTGTATTCGACCGGAACCGAGTTATCGACTTTCGTCGAGCGATTCGACACATCGAAGGCATTTCGACGCTTATTACAAATGATAATCGCGTCATGCAACGCGTAGTAAATACGACACGCTTTAAAATGCAATTCCACCGGGCTGCTGTTCATTGTCAGCCCGGTTAGAACCGTGCCACGGCATCGTAAACAATCGATAACGTGCATCGTTAACTCACGCGTTAATGAATATGCCGGTGCATCGTATAATGCACTCGACCATCACGTTACTACATACTTTCGATCGAGTCTATATATACATACACGAGTGTGTGTACTTTTTGCCTCTTTAATGGGTCATTCGCTTTGTGGGACTGTCGATAGTATACGATGAAAGTGCAAGGACGTTCATTTTTATCGTTTGATTTGTCTATCAATTTGTTTATTGTCTATAAACTTAATCATTATTCGTTTCATATTTTTTTTTAAATTATTTTATTCTATGTATATTTTATTGATCTTCCGTATGTGTGTATTTCATGAATTGATATTTTATGGTTACTTGTATTGTACATTTTTATTGTACATTTATATTCTACATTTACATTGCACATTTACATTGTACATTTACATTGTACATTTACATTGTACATTTACATTGTACATTTACATTGTACATTTACATTGTACATTTACATTGTACATTTACATTGTACATTTACATTGTACATTTACATTGTACATTTACATTGTACATTTACATTGTACATTTACATTGTACATTTACATTGTACATTTACATTGTACATTTGTACTGCACATTTATATTGCACATTTACATTGCACTTTTACATTGTATATTTACATTGTACATTTGTATTGCACATTTACATTGCACATTTACATTACACATTTGTATTGTACATTTACATTATACATTTACATTGTACATTTACATTGTACATTTACATTGTACATTTACATTGTACATTTACATTGTACATTTACATTGTACATTTACATTGTACATTTACATTGTACATTTACATTGTACATTTACATTGTACATTTACATTGTACATTTACATTGTACATTTGTACTGCTCATTTATATTGCACATTTACTTTGCACTTTTATATTGTATATTTACATTGTATATTTGTATTGCACATTTACATTGCACATTTACATTGCACATTTACATTGCACATTTGCATTGTACATTTACTTTGTACATTTGTACTGCACATTTGTATTCCACATTTACATTGCACATTTACATTGTACATTTACATTGTACATTTACATTGTACATTTACATTGTACATTTACATTGTACTTACATTGTACATTTACATTTACATTTACATTGTACATTTACATTGTACATTTACATTGTACATTTACATTGTACATTTACATTGTACATTTACATTGTACATTTGTATTGCACATTTACATTGTACATTTACATTGTACATTTGCACTGTACATTTGCCCTGTACATTGTGCACTTCACAAGCATCAGATAAATCAACCAAAATGGAGTCCTATGTCCACCCCATCGCAAGAAACTCCGTAACAAAAAGTCATCGTTAACGAGTCGAAGAACAATTATCAAAATCGTGTAGGTATCGAAAACGAAGACCTTGAAAAACCACGGAATCAAAAAGAAACTGTTGAAGCGAAGAAAGAAGAAGAAGGGGGAAGCGTCGGTCACGACGGGATCGCGAGACACGTTTAAATCCCCTTCTGGTCGTTGCCAGTCGGTTGTTATTACAAGTGACGACGGCAAAAAGCAAGGACCATCGTCCTTCGTCGTCTGGCCGGCTCGGTGGTCCCTGCTTGAAGAAGGAGAAAAGACTAGAAGCGGACCCGAAGAGGATGATTGTTTCTCACGAGCCAAACTAGGTAGTCGACGTGCCCGGTTCGAGTCGTTTGACCTTCTTTTTCAGCGACGAAAAGAGAAGCAAACGGCGCCACGAATTCCAACCGCTTCCTTGAATCGCGGAAGGTCCCTGAACTCCGCCGACTTTTTCGATTACACGCCCTTATGTTGCCTGCCTGAGTGCGCGGATGCTGGGTGCTTGTACAGTCACCGGCAAATATGGAGGTTTACTAGGGAGAATGGTGGAGGAAAGGAAGGACGGGGTTTTGGGGGGTGGACTCGAAGGTTTAGGTATTTAGGTGTTTGAACATTTGGAGGGATTTGGGAATTTAAGAGTGTGAGAAGCTGCGATTGTGGAAAAGTGAAAATATGAAAATTTAGGGAATTTTAAGAATTCGGAAATTTGGAGGAATTTAGGGAAATTTAAGAATTTAAAAATTTGCAGGGGTTTGGTAATTTGGATATGTGAGAAGATGGGAATATAGAAAGTTAAGGAATTTTAAGGATTTGAGAATTTAGGGATTCGAAAGATTTAAAGAATTTGACAAATTTGCAAGAATTGGAAAATTTTTAGAACTTTTAAATTTCTGATGTTGGTAATTTAGTAACTTAGGGATTTAAGAAATTAGAAAATTTGGGGATTTCAAAATTTTAAGAATTTCGGGAGTGTTGGTTTCATAATTTGTGAATTTGGAAATTTGAAGAATTGATCATTTGGAAATTGTAAAATGTATTAGCTGGGAATTTTTTAATTTTTTAATTTTACAAAAATTGGTATCTCATCAATTTTGAAATTTTAAAAGCTTGAAATTTGGAAAATGGTATCTAGAAAATTTTAAAATATACGAAATTATTATCCGTGAAATTTTGATATTTTAAAAATTTCAAGTGATATCTAGGGAATTCTGGTACTTTAGAACTTTCAAGCGATATCTAGGGAATTTTGGTATTTTAAAAATTTCAAGTGTATCTAGGGAATTTTGATATTTTAACAATTTAAAATAATGTCTAGGGAATTTTATATTTAAAACCTTTCGAAGCTGATATCTAGGGAATTTTCGGAATTTATAAAATTGCTATCTTGGGAATTTTTTTATTTTAACAACTTATAAAACTATATCTAAGGAATTTTATGAATGTATGAAATTGCTATCTAGGAAATTTCTTAATTTTACAAACATGAAAAATAATATCTGGGCAACTTTTAATTTTAAAAACTTAAAATCTGGTATCCAGTGAATTTAGGGAATAAATAATTGAAGTACTATTAAAATACACTTAAACGCAATTCTAGTTACAAATTTTAACACTAAAATTTCGAAATTTAAAAATAACGAATCTTAGATTTTTTATTTAAAATTACTATACTACTATTATTTTCTTAAGTATCATTATTATTTACAATTATTTTAATTAAAAACTGTTGAATTCCTTTATTAAAAAATGACCGCAACATTTCCATTAAAATTATTTGGAATGCAACATCCTATCGATTTATCATTCTTCACCGCAATATCCGTAGAAGATGAAATATTCTGACGAGAAGAAAATTTCTGAAGATTTATTTCCATAGTTAGTTTCATAGCTAGGTATTTCATTGAATACAACAATCGTTGACGTGGCACGTCGTCTTCTTCAAACATTTATAATTAGGATGCACCCTGAGGACGCCTAGCAACGCGACAAGAAAAAGGATTTGAAAAGCATAAATACCACAGAAACAGGAAGAACCACTGTCGGGAAAGAATAAGGAGAAAAGAAATCATGAAAGGTATGAAAGAAAAGCATAAGTGACAGGGAAGAAAAGAAGAAAAGAAAGGCAGGAGAATAAATATACGACGAAAGAGAAAGATCCAAAGGGAAGAGAGGAGCTCGACAAACAGCCATCAAGAGAACATAACCAAAGCACCAAAATCAAAAGAAGCTTCAGAATGGATGGAAAGAGGAAGACGTGCGGAATAAAAGAATCGCGATCAAGAAGAGAGCCCGCAAGAAAGAAGCGGAATATGAGAACAGGAAGTACAAGAGAAGTACAAGAAAATTGAAACCAAAACAAAGCAAAAGAAAACTTTTCATTATTCTGAGCGGTCTGCAGCATGATGCGAAAAATGTTCAATCTAATCGAGACTTCTGCTGTATACATAAATAAATTACCTTTTTTTGGTAATTTAAACATTTTTATTTATGTGGTTTCTTTAATTTTTGTTTCAAAAATTGTTAAAGACAGAAAATTTTATTTTGGAAAGAAAAAATTTTAGACTTATATATTTCAATAATTTTTATATAATATAATATTCAACTATTAGTTAGAAGTAAAAATTTATTCAAAAAAATTAAAATTTGAGAAAATTATACATGACTACAAAATTAAAAATTATTGAAAAAAAGAAATTTTATTTGAGAACAGAATTTCTAAAGCTATAGATTTAAACAATAAAATTAATAATAATTACACTACATTATAAACTAATAAAGAAAATCTAAAATTAAGAATAAATAGAAAAAATTATACATGGCTGCAAAATTAAAAATTATTCAAAACAAGAAATTTTATGTAGGAACAGAATTCCTGAAACTACAAATTTAATAAAAAAAAAAAATAATTGCATCACATGTAGAAAGAACCTAAAATAAATATAATTTAAAAAAACATAAAAATTGAAGAAAGGCTTCTAAGATACCACAGCACTAAAAGGAACGGTAAAGATTAGAACGTTAAACAGCTTTTAACTTGTTGTAAAATAGAGAAAAATTAATCGCGGTTTAAAGAGATAATCAATTGACGAAAGGAGTGTGGTCCTTTGATCTCGGCACCTCATTCTCAAATTATAATTCACGATCAGAACAGACCGCACCTGCACAGAAGATGGTTCATTCTCCCTCTGCAAATTTAAAAGCGCCTTCGTGGAATTCCATTCTTAATGGCTTTATTACGGCCGGTACCCGTTGAATTTCACCTTGTCCATCGGACGCTTTGGTTGTCCGTAAACCTGTTCCCATCTTTCCATGAATGAATAGTGCTCGCGTTTCAGAAAAATCCGAACGGACCGCACCGGTCGAATGTATAGGGTGTTTCGGGGAATTTGGGTATTTTGGTATCAGGAAATTCTCAAATTTTCAGGCTTAAATGTTACAAAATTTCAAGCTTGTAAGTATGGATTTTTGGTAATTTGGGAAATTTGTAAAGTTGGAAATATGGTAACTTGGAAATTTAAGAATTTGGAATAGTTAACTTGAAAATTTTTGAATTTGTGAAACTGACAGTTAAGTAACTTGGAAAGAGAACTTCTAATTGGTAATCTGAAAAATTAAAAATTTGTTATGTTAGGTATACAATCACTTTAAAATTTAAAAGTTCAAAATTTTACAATTAAAAATTTGATTAGATCATTTTATTACTAAATCTTGCTAAATATAATCACAATATTTTACCCTTATGTATAAATCACAATATATTAAACTTATGTATGACTCACAGATCCAAATACATGTATGCAAACTTAAGTATCATAATACCTAACCTCATACATTCCTGTAAAAATTTAAAAACAAAGCATTAAAAAAATCGTCTATATTTGTCACAAGATTCATAGTAAATCGATTTATATAATATATTATTGCACAATATAAGAAAAATTCCAAAATTCAATAAGAAAATGTCTAAAAAAAATGTGAATACTCTCTCAACTATTCGATTGGCGGGTTTCTGGGCACCGGTAACCGTTGCTTGCACCAATAGGTGGCAAAAGCTTTCACGCTCGAACCCGACATAACAAAGAAGAGGTGGCATGGCGTGGATCTGTTTGCTGTCGGTAATCTTTGGACTTGGTCCTCCGAAGGCCACGCTTTTCTACGTCGTAAATCTTATTTCAAACCTCGAATCCTTTTCCTGGGATACGTCTACCTGGCGGCTTCTATTAGCGGATTTCGATCTTGGGCCAACGTCTTTGCGACCTAGGATTCGCTCGGCAACAGGAGTCGTTTATTTTGAAAATAGAGAAAATTCTTTATTCAAAGAAGTTCGGTTCAGTTCTTTATTTACTCCTTTTTAACCAAAGATGGCGTTTAGGCTATACAAAACCTATATTGCTTAACTCGACAGTATATTCTTTAAACATAAATTGGCACCATTTTCAAAATTCTCGTTTCCATAATGTCTTAAAACTCTCTTAACTTTCTATTCTTTCATGCATTACCTTTTTGAAAGAAATGTAGATAAAAACTTAATATATTTTTATCCTTATGTAATCTACAGTGGAAATAATTGAAATTCTCTAATATTTGGCTTGGAAAGATGTTTACTTTGAAAGTAGTGCAAGTCCTTAGGTTAAAATTATTTTTGGCCGAATATATTACGTTGCAATTTAGCTCCGGTAAATTTCAGTTATACTGACTGTTGGAAATTAGCCTTTTTAAAATCGCTACGCCCTCTTTTTCTACGTCGTTGTCGGTGCTGCCTCTTGCGTGCTTGATTCATGATCGATCGAAATCCGTTGCTGTTGAATGTTGTTGCTTCGCTTTGTAAATGTATGTACTCTTATATTAAGTTAAATAAGTATATTAAAGTTAAAGTTAGTTTACTACGCCTCGTTTCAGTTATTTATCATATCCATAATCTTAACATTGACAATATCGTGAAAAATTATGAATTGTATATTGGTGGCATAACCTCAATATGAGCGATGATCTGTCAAGGTATCGTTGTTTTTATTATCACCTTGCAAGTTCTAATAAATACTCGAATTTTCTTTACGAATTTGAACGTACATACATTTGGAAAATTTCGAGATTTAAAAACTTACTTTTCAAATCGAAGAATTTGATAATTTGGTAATTTAGAAATTTTAGTGTCGAATTATTTACTAATCTAGAAAGTAGGAAAACTAAAAGTTTAAGTACAAAAATTTAAATTTATTCAAACCCGTTTAGAACTGCATAAAAATATAAATTGGTAACGTTCAACTACTTCTATATGCAGTGAACATTCCTCCATAAAGAACCAAGGAAGTATAATATCCACAGCATTAGAAACCTCGCTATTAATCTGACATTAGTATAATCATCTAAGTACCACTCGTTTATTCCACGCTGAAACCATTTATCATTTCACATATTCAAATAAAACTTGAAACATATCCGAAGCGTCATATATTAACATTTCCATGGCATCTCCTAACCGATCCCTCTACGTCATAATTCCCGCCATAATTCTCTATTATGCGTTCGAAATTCCGACCACATCCAGCAATGATCCTGAACGACGTCCATCCCGAATACGAACCAAAAGACTGGTTCTCGTTAAGCATACCAAAGAATCTCAAAACACCGTCCATTATTTTCGAACGGTCTAGTTTGATCCTGCCGCAAGAAGGAACAAGAAACCAGGTCCTGTCGGGCCAGTGCCGGATTTATGTTTCAATGGACCCTAGGCTAATAACGAAGCCTGTGGCTCTAAGACCGGTATTCTTATAATTAACCTTAGAGAATTTCAGTGCTATAATTAATAATTATTAGAGAGTTTCATTTCTTATAATTAACAATTACTAGGGAATTTTTATTGTTATAGTTGACATTTATCATGGAATTTTAATTGTTATAATATATATTTATTACGGAATTTCAATTATTATAATTAAATATTATTAGAGAACATTTAATTTTATAAATAACAATTATTAAGGAATTTCAATTCACAATTAATGTTTGTTAAACAATTTTAAAATTATAATTAATAATATAATTATTAATTAATAATTAGTCGTAATTAATAATGTATTCATTAATAATTAGTTATAATTAACAATTATCACAAAATTTCAATATCAACTACAAATAGCTTACAGATAGAAACAAATTAAGTGTGATCTGTCGTAATCATAATTTTAATATCTTCTAAAAAATGGACGCACTTTTAAAGTAAACCCATTTATAGAAATATCTTTCCTCTCGAACAATCTCATCGACAATTTAGTAAGAAATAAATTATTCGACTGGACTTAACACGTACTTAGGTAACGGTAAATTTGTTTTTGTTTTACAGAGTACAAATTCTCGATGTACACGCCTAGTATGATCGCGGCAGCGAGCGTCGCGGCAGCCCTTCATGGTCTCGATTGGACCGGGAAAAGCGGCTACGGGTTGGCCGGCCTTCTCGACGAGCTTACTCGCATCACGGCGATCGAACAGGTTTGTCTTGTGTTGATATTATTGCATGACAGTTCAGAAAAATATCGTATAGCTATGTCCGCAAGTAGATTTAATCGCGAAGCGCATTGCTTACACTCGATTGGCTCATCCAAGTGTCGGAAGCGAACGTTGTTGCGTGACGATGTCTGTATTGGTGATACTTGCATTCCCCTGATCAAAATTTTTGTTTTGATTTTATCATTTTAGTTTTATATCGCAAACCTCGGAATGCAAAATTGATATGCATATCACATAAATTTCCAGGTTGATTTCAGTGCAGTTTATGAGCTTACTTCTACGAAAGATGACGTTCCTAAATGTTTTGTAAAGTGATAAATTGTTAGAAGCGAGTTTGGCAATCTAAGTTCTGCGCCGTCTATGGCCATTAAACTCGAGTTCGCGATCTATGTAAATTCGATCGATGTACGTTAAAAAACGCGGGTTCTTTCGGCGTCGAGTTGAAGATAGTGCGTATAAAAGTGATTCAAACTGAATCTAAAATACAGTGTTCATACACGTGCAGTACTAGAATAATGTTAGTAGTATAATATTAATAGTGTGAAATATTGGATCGTGTGAATTTTAAAAAACTGATCGGCAAGAACGCTCGACGATAAGCTGTCAGTTGATTCTAGATTTTTCCACAGTTGAGAAAAAATGTCGGATTTGTTTGCAAAACTCAGACGGAGATTTGTTGTAAATGTGTTTATTGAAATTAAGTTTAAGAAGTTCTTATTTCGTTTAAAATTAAATTCCATTTCTTGGTGTTACTATTTAAAAGAAAATAAAACTATCCTTATATTAAATTACAATAGTACTTTCAGAGGTTATGCATTGCACTCCCCCACCTCATCTTCTTATAACTATTGTAGAACTGAATATTAACGAATAATATAAACGAAACAATATTACAATTTATTCTAAACTAAATTAAATTTCAAATAAATCCTACATTCTTGTACCTGAATAAATTCGACTGCACTCTGAGTCTATTTCATATTCTCTATAGGAATACTCACTGATGTGACAAGCGTGAGTCATCCGAACCTAAAATTATTGAGCATTGTTCCTGTAAGAAATCGATCGTAACGTTCATGTTGTACGAAGAAACGGCAGGAAAGTCATGAATGAAGAGAGGTCAGGTGGCCAAGATAGTTCCAAGAACATTCTTCCTGTTTCTAAACACATGCGAAAATATTGCGCTTACAGGGCGTAGACCCCATGCCGAGCCATTCACGCGTGCACTTTAGTTGCACTCACCGCATTATGAATGTATAGTCTGCGCGTGTTTCGAATCGTCTTTCCCTCTCTCGTCACGCTCTCTGGGCCCTTTTTTCCCCCATAAACATGTGCCCGACACCTGCTACGCCGCTCATCAGGACTTTTTGTCGACCGTCGCCACTGGATTCGCGAATGATCTTTCGCGAAACGTTTCTTGAACATTCAAACAGATTCTTTCGAAATTTATCTCAAGAATGTTAATGGCGTTTACAGATAGTCATCTCTAAATTCACTGTTGGATCTTTAGATCTGTAACTGGATATTTAGATCTGTAACTGGATATTTACAATCAACTGTTGAAGTCCTGAATTGCAAATTTAGATATTTAAAAATGGAAAATGTGGAATTTGAAAACTTGAAAATTTGAAAATTTAACACTTCCAAAAATTTGGAAGTGTAGAATTAAATATTTGAATATTTGAAAATGTGAAATGCAAGAATTTGAAAATTTGAAAATATATAATTTACAAATATGAAAATGTATAATTTAAAAATTCGAAAATGTAAAATTTAAAAAATTGAAATACATAAAAATATAGAAAGTGTTATTCAGACATGCAGAATTAATATATTTAAAAATTAGAAAATGTAGAATTTCAGAAACTAAGAATTCAAAGTTCAAGAATTTACATTTTAAGAAATTGCATATTCAATCACATGTAAATTTCTAAATTTTGCAATACAATCTACCCACAAATACCCACAATCCGCTTCACAGCTTCGCAATCACACTTTCAAATAATTATACAGCAAGTAACCAACATTAAAATATTATAAAACATCTCCTGTTGTTTTATGTCCAATTGTTAGAAATAATATATCTTTAAAAATAATTTTCTACCTCTTAATATTAGTAATTTTCACCAATCACCTTAATAGCAATAACCTAACTTAACCTGTGTTTATTTATCTTTTCAGGACTATCTCCAGGGTTGCCTGGAGCAGATCGAGGAGATGGTTTCGGAAGCTGTGGGTCCGAATGGCGGTGGAAACAGCCATCAGGCGTCCGACATGTCGATCTCGGCGCCCCAGAAGCCTCTGGGGGACGACATGACCAGCCAGGAGAAGATCCTGGAACACGAGAAGGCGGGCACCCCAACCGATGTGAGGGACGTCCATTTTTGAGAGACGCCGCTGAGGGAAACTCTGGCCAGGGTGACTCTCTGCTAAACCTGGAGGCCGAGGAGCAAGGGTTAGCCAGCAGCGACGAGGACGCTGAGGGACCTACGGCCAAAAAACGAATCAAGATGAACGAAGAGGAAACGCCTGACCGAGCAGATCCGCGACAAGAGGACTCTTGAAAGAGAAAACGATCAAATTCTGCTCGTACGGATCGTTTGCCTTCGTCTCGATAAACTGAATGGCCTCCAGAAGAGAGTGTCCTGGGGAGGCCCTCAACGGAAAGCGTTCTCGTAGAAATTCAGTCAAAGGGGACATTTATGGACATTTTTCTTACGCTACTTGGAACCGAGGATACACTCCGCTCCAAAGAGTGATTTTTCGAGTCAGGAGATTGTCTCTCCGCTCACCAGGGACCCCGATGATTCTTTCTTTTTGTTTCTTCTTTTCTCTTAGTCTCGAGATCGAACTATGTACGTACGAATAAGCTGTTGTAGTTTTTAAACCGGGAAGCGAACGACTGCTGAAACTGATCCGGGACTATATTTTGCTTCCCGCGTGCGAGAAACAGAGTTTTTTTTGTTTTACACGATGTGGAAAGGTCGGACGGCGTAAACGAGAGGGCCCGATTTCCCGGGGCCCCTTTTTGTTATTTAGTTGTACGCGTTTTTATTCGAAAGATGCGACCGATCCTCGCGGTCGGTATCGGTTTTGTTCTCTCGAGACACTGCGTTGTCTCGAATCATGATCTTAGACTTTCCAGAGACTTCTTTTTGTTTTATTTTCTTTTTGTTCGTTTCGAATGACGATACGGGAGATGCGCGAAAGAAGGTCGGAAACTTGTCGAAGTTTCTTCGTTCGAGCGTTGATCGCTGTTTTAACCCTCTGTGTGTGTGTTTTTTTTTCTTTTTTGTTAATTTAATGCGAGGAGAGATACAATTCGTCGTTTGAATGATGTTAACACAGGGTGAGACCTGAGAAACTCAGGCTATTTTCGACTCTCCGAGCGATTACGACATTAAATTCCGTGGAACTTTCACGTTAATGTCGGCTCGCTTTCGAACGATCTCGATATGCAGAATGCGAGAGATAACAGAGGGTTATTAATTTCAGTGTTAAATTCCACGAAGAAAAACAAAAAGGAGGTACGTCGAAATCTAAGGTCGTTTGTATGCGCGAAAATGCGAGGATAAAAAATGAAACAAATTATAAAAATGATTGTAAATCGTTTGAAAAGCGTCTCTTCGTTAACGGTGTGTCCGTGAAATCGCGAAAGATTTTAATGCACGAAGTTCAGCGACCACGAAAAGGAAGAACGAAGAAATCAAGATGGCGGAAATAGCTGAAGAGACCGGAAGGCGGCGTGCTGTTGGGGGAAGGCAATGCAATACGCTTTACGCATCTATTTCGTAATAGAATTATACACTTAATTTTTAGCCGGACGACGAAACTACCACGCCAGAGAATGTTATAACGAAAGTTTAAATAGGGGAGTTTGAGAATAACGAGAAATGCGGATTATAGCTCCTCCGTGAGACTAAACGAGATAGGGATATATAAAAGAGAGGACCGGAAAGAAAGGGAAGAAATGCACATAGTCATGTCGAGTCACTTAGTGTTTTGTACATAGGTATACATACGAAAAAAATGAGTATATATATATATGGTACACAAAATGTGTGTGAGTGTGCGCGTGTATGCGTGAGGGAGAGATTTTGGTGTAAAGAAAACGCGGAAAAGTGTTGCATGTGAATTAAGGTTCGTTTATATCATCTGTTCAGACACGAAACGTTTATGAGTTTCTTTCTGACCATAAGGGTGTTTATACTATGGTCACTGTCAATTTCTTTGACAATTTGATACTGCCAATTTGTTTGTTCGTGTTTGTTTGAGGGAAATACAGTTACAGCAACAAACAGAATACTATTTCAAAGTTGAAAGAACTGAATGTAATACATGTATCAACACATAGCATATCTAAACCAGTTTACTAGTTTGTAGTTTATAATCTCCATCTATTTATTTATAAGCAGCTTGAACTGAACCATGCAAAAGTAGAAGTTTCATTAATTAACCAAGTATACTTATGAAAGATCCAAGAGAAATGTCAGAATGTAATGGATATTGAAACATAGCTGATTCAACTATATTTGTATTTTTTTATTTATAATAATCTTTACGTGAATGGAGCCGTTTCTTGTCTGAATGGATAATATAAATGAACCTTTATTATTGCGTACGCGTGTATGCGTATAAAAAGAGAAACAAAAACAATGTTTTAGATTGATAGAATGTAGTTCCCTTTTTTGTATTTACGCTACGTTAATTGTTTATCCAAATGAGTTTTCCCGAGGGCTGTGGCGCGACCCGTCGCGTATTCCAGTCGGTTCCTAAGATCGGTTGTGCCAGCCCACAATGCGCGATTAAACGCACGAAACGCGGTGTATGAATGTGTATATGTGTGGGTGCGTGTACACTCTTGTGTGTCGGAGTTATCGTCTTGTGAAAATGGGGAAAAGAAATGATTGTATAAAGAATCGGTTTCGAAATGCGTGATCAATTCGTAAATTTGTAGATATTTGATACTTACGATTAGAATTATCTTTCTAATTTTATGAATAGATGGAACTAGGTGGTAGATGTTTGTGCAGTGCTTTGCAAAGTACTTCTGCAAAATATTGAGATGCACAATTCACAGATTTATGTATACTTCGCATTTTATAAATGCATAAACATCTACAATCAAGATATTAATTTCAAAGAATGATTCAAGTTAATATATTCACTGTCACATCGTATACAGACGATGCTTGAATTTTCATAGGAATTCATCATCCGTATTCTTTCACTTACATAAAGATACCTGTATTAGGTATCATAACATTACTATTGGAAAAAGAATGGACAAAATTTGTTAAGAGTAAAATACATTTTGATGTTTTAAAAGAAAGGCAATATTTGTTCCATGAGAAGAGATTTAATTCTACTATATGGATAATACCAAAACAATTTCTATCAGAATAGTTATTTTATTTTTAAATGCTTTACTATTTGAATATTTTCTTTTGATAACATTTGGTATTTTCTTAAAACGTTTGCTACCTGAATTCACTTACAATTTAATATTCAATATTTGTATATTATACTATTTTTAAGATTACGATACAGTTTTCATCTGTTCTATTACACACAAAACAATTAATTATCATCTCAGACATATATGTGAATTTTGTAACAAACGTTTAATAGCAATTTGTATAATCTTTATCTGACTACACCTTTATACTTTATGACTTTGTACATTCAGCATATCAAGGAACTTATTTTTGAATAATTTATGAATTTCTTATATTACTCTTCTTATGGAACAAAATCACTAAACAAAACCAAGTGCAATTGTAAACTCTTAAAAATGGTCAATAACATTTTTTAAGCAAAATACAAACTTTTGCTCAATTTTTCCAACATTGGAAACCAATTTTTAGAATCAATATCCAAAGAATTATTTAAAATATATTACAAGATCTTGAAAGCTCAATTATAGAAGTAAAAGAGATGTGTAGAATGGTTTTGATTGTCAGTTTGATAATCTTTCTCTAGAATGAATTTCTTTCTTTACTTCTTTTTCGAAACCAATGCTGTACACACGCTCTTTCCCCATAAATCGCGGCTGTACATATGTAGGTAAGCTATACGAGGCGTACGATCAAGAGTAATCACGTAATCCGTGTAAGATATTGCGACAAATAAGATGGCAAAATAAAATCGAGAACCGAAAGAGAACGTTATAAGGGAGCTTAATTAAAGCGGACGTATTCGAAAAAATACAACTTTTTCAGTGCTGTGACATAATGTTCAAGGCGTATTTGTACTACCTTCAAAACTCTTAAAGTTGCGATTACATAAAATTTGTACAACTATTTTTTCAAGATTCTAATTTTTTATTGTCAACTTTTGGAATGCTCGTTTATACTGATTCTTTTTACATTGATTCATTTGTATTCGTTTTGATAAAGTATTTGCACGCAGTCTATTTATACTAATTTTAATTCAGGTTTTTTTAACTTTTTAATGTACTGTAAATTACAAACTATGACGTAACTAGAACAAAGCTTCCTATTTTTGTTTTTGACATTTTATATAAAACATAACCAATTTGCCAACAGAAAAAGAATTTTCAAATTTGAAAATTTCTGATATGAGTTACGCCAATGGTTATAGAGAAAGAATTTTATAACGTAAAAGCCACTCGAGAAGATGAATAGTACAAAATAAAGTAAACCGCTCGAATAATTAGGCCAAAGTCCGAATGTTATATTTCTTAAAAATTAATTGCATTCGAAATCAGAGTTACGATTTTCAGTGATGAAAATGAGTCAAAAAAAATAAATGCGTACCTTTCGAAAATGTTAAAAATATAACCTCAAAAGCGACTGGAAGAAAAAGTCATGAAAGAATACGTCAAAAATTTGCAGCACCGAGAGAGTTCGCCTCCACTGCTATCGTTCGATCAAATTATACTACAGCATTTATATAATCGTACCCTTGTCCTGACCGTGAAAAAGCATTTAACATTTACCGTATGTACCCGTTCTAGATCGCAAAATAATAATACAGTAGAATTATATACGTATATAAACTGAAGTACAGAAAAAACAAGAATCATTTAAAAAAATAATATCGTTGTAAATCGAACGACAGAGGTCGAGGCAACGTCCGAGCATCATCCAAAAGAAAAAATATATATATTATTATATTAACTCAATAGTACTTAAAAAAAATACGTCGATAGTGTGAACAGAGCGAGAGAGAAAGAGAGAATGAAAGAGAGTGAAAGAGAGGACGGAAATTCGGAAAACGCGTGTTTCCTTTCTTTTTGAGAATCGAAAAGAAAGATACCGCGTGTTTCGTCCACTCGAATCCGCATTCCGATTAACAAATGGGAGATGTCCCAGTGCCACAAAGCGAACTAGTTTAGTAGCATACTCTTCAGTAACCAAATCTTAGTACAACGTAGCAGATCGAATAATATAAACGTTACGATAAAAAATAAACCCGGCTGGTACGCGTGGCTGACCATTCACTTACTTCTACCACTAGCAGTAGTAGTACCGTTCGTCAGGAGGTCCTATGTGCACGCACCTGTTTTGTTTTTTTATTTTTTATGATTTTATGTACCTTGGGGAAAAATGGGAATATCGTCGAGAGGGATGAAACGACGATAAAGTGCATTTTGATTAATTTTTTTATGCGGGATCCATGGTTCTCCTTGCGAGGTGCAAGAGGAATTGAGACTGTTCTTTTTATGAAGGTTATGTGCTATTAACAAGTTGAAACAGTGAGACAATGATACCATAAATTCAATGTGATTGATTAATTAACAGAAAACAATCATTTTCAATTTTAAATTGTATGAATATTATATTATATATAATTGTATGAATATTATCAAGGAAGTGTTTCATTCTACTTTTGAGATACCAAATTTTCTCATTTTCAAACTTGTAAGTTTAGGACTTATAAAATTTATGAATACAAAAATTTTGTAATTTGTTATCAATAAAATTTGTAAATATAGAAATTTTCTAATTTGGGAATTTAGAATATTTAGAATGTACTGTAAAAATGAATTTATACATTCAGTAATTTGGATGTACAGTTTGCAAATTGACTAATTCATAAATTAGCAGTTGCACAATGACAATTATAATGTAAATTGTCATTAACAATTGTTTAGTCATTAAACAGCCATTTTCATTTAACGCATTAGGTTGAAAAGCTAAAGATACTTCATTGAATTTATGGTTATCTTTAGTAGTCTAATACATAGCCATACTATAGCACACAACATGCTAAAGAAATGAGAAGCATTTTGAGAACTAAATAGAGTTGATAATTGTACATAATAGAAAATTCAATAAGTTTATTCAATATTTTAAAACTCTTCATTTACATTTACTATTTAGATTTCTCTTTATATTTATTATTCCTTTATTCATTTTGCAAGAACTTGATACACTTTTTATTTGTTTGGAGATTGAATTTTGATAGATGGTCCTTCATTTTTTTATGTTTGTATTCATGATTCAGAATTTTATGTTCATATCCAGGATTCAGAATTTTATGTTTGTATACTTGATTGCTAATTATTCGCAGTTCTATGTTCTTTCATATATTATATTGTAACTTATTTATATTGATTTAGTTGAAATATTTCATACTTATTTTTCTGTAGATTTCAGTTGAATTTTTTAATTTCATTCACAGTCTTTCTTAAGATTTCATTCGTTCGAGCTCTTTCTTATGTCATTTCACAATTTATTATGGAATAGTTTTTTACTGTTATATCTTTGTAGAAATAGTCATAATGCAAACATGTATTAACTCTTCTTAGGATTTGATAATTCAATTTCATAGGTAATTTGATGGAGTCATTACTTTATTTAAATTTTAATTTACAATGATTAAAATTAGACAATCAAATTTTTAAACAAGATTCTGTCATGGACTAGGTAAATGAAATATAGAAAATTATTATACATAAAGAAATATGTAGTATAAGATTTAGAAAGTGAATGAAAATGAATTTACAATTCAATTGAACTTATAAATTAGTGGTAAACAGTTCAATAAAAAATATGGACAGAGGTTTAAAATTTGAAAATAGGAAAATATCAAATTTTCCAATATTCTAATTAAAACATATGAACTTAAAAATAGTGAAACATCAAATCTACAAATTTTCTGCCTTTATTAAAATACTGAGGATCTAAAAGTTAAAAAATTAAAAAATGTAGATATTGCAAATTTTTAGTTTAAAAAATTAACAATCTATCACTTCTAAATATCTTCGTCTAACAATTAAACGTTTATGGTCCTTTCCATAATCCAAAGAAGAGTTAACCAAAAAGCAGACTACAAAATTTCTTTCTCAAAAGATCATAAATCTCCCTCAAGAGTAAATCGCTGGAGAACCAGGGAGATCCTAAATTTTCTGTTCCTAATAATCATCTCGTTCCAATCGAACAACCCCGTTATTCCACTTGTTTTTAGCTTTGTAAGAACACGACGAGCTTGCGACACTCTTCTATTTGTAAAACAGCGAACAAAAGCGAAATTGTAACGACGTCACAGCGATCCGTGAGTTACTGCGAGACTCTTAGTTACTTTTACACTTCGTTTTCTCCCCGTTCGATGCGAGCCGTACCAGAAATCCTTGAACTTCTTCGACATGAATTTTAAAATTAATATAAAAACATCGAAGTTGTTGAAGTCCCCCGTATATATATTTCACTGCCAGACACATACACACACAGCATATAAAGTGCACATACCTTTTAAAACTCGCATCGATTTTTGTACGATTTGTTGTTGTACCAGTCGTTTGTTCCCCCATATTAGTTCGAAGCAAAGCAGCGCAATAGAAATACCACTGATATACCTCAGGCACCGCGTACACCGCTCGGAACAGCATGCGTAGTTTTTAAATCGCTCGCGGCGACGATGATGAAAATAATAATAATAATAATATTAAAAAAACGAAAGAGTTGATGATGAACGAAAATGATGAAAGCAACCACACTTATATGCGTTACTTTTTAAACCTAGCACGTAAAAAGCATCATTTTTAATCGGTAGGTGCGCGACTGTTGTACCGGGGAAGATACGGTACGACGAACTTTGTACATATCCCGTGCGTGGTGCGACGCACAGTCGATTGAAAAATAAAGTATTGGTATTTTATACAGTCACATGATGTGTTTCATTTTCATACCCTTGTATATATTTCAGTAATGGATGAGAGTTAACGGGAATATTTTCAGTATATTATTGAGCGAGCGAAGCTCTTATACTTGACTTTGCAACTTCTTTGTCCGCGTTTTTCTTTTGCACCACTCAACCACATCTCATCAAATTTTGCACGCACATGCGTATGTACATCCAGATGGACATAGAAAAAAAAATTTTAAATCGGACTTGGCACGGAGGAATAATCACCGAAAAAACTGATCCTCATAGACTTCAATGTAAAAATTGAATTTGCTCGCGCTTGGAATTTTCGTTATTAGGAATATTGCAAACCACCCACCGTTTGATATTCAACACATACATTTTAAAAACACTCTTTCCGGATAAATATACAGTTTTATACATATATCTTCGTTCAAAAAATATTCTTGGACATGTCGAGACTAACTTGAGCCGTCCAGATTGAAGGGGTGAAAAAATTTCACTCTGGGTTAAAATACACTGCAGGAAATTAACGGTCAATTTTGAACTTTGACCCCATACGCAGTAGCAAACCGTTACAAAGAGTGCAGTTTATGGACTAAAAAATTGGAACCATCTAGCGGCGAAACGGCGGACTAAACCTAAAAAGTGAGGGTCCGACCCCGTATACATATAAGGAAAATAAAAAAATGAATATTTCGGTACTTTAGCGACGTAGTATTGTTCCTGAGGCATTTAGAAGCAAATTTCTATTAGGGTTTGATGCGTTTTGATGCCTAATAAAGCCAGAAAATCAAATTTTGTCGAATTCGATCCAAAACGATACAGGTGGCGCCATCTAGCGGCGAGCGGTGGAACTACGAAACAATAAAATTTCGATTTTTTCCAAAATTAGGCAATTTTACGTATTTCTGAGGGTCGGAAATAGTCCTGTGGCTTCTCTAGAGCCCATATAATGTCGCAAAAACCTCCTCAGAGCGCTAGAAAAGAAAATAAAAAATAGGTCAAAACATGGACTAAAAAATTGGCGTCCATCTAGCGGCGAAAGTTGGAACTACAAAAATACAAAAATGGGATTTTCTTGAAAATTAGCGAATTTTGAGTACTTCTCAGGCTCAGAAAGTGTTATGTGATCGCATTAGAAGCAAAATAGTGCAAGAAAAGCTTCCTAAAGGCTTTAATAAAGAAGCTTTAGTAAGGAAAATTAAAAAAATATCATTTTATGGAGAAAATTAGTGGCGCCATCTAGCGGCGAAACTGCGAACTAAACTGAAAAAACATGTCTGTACACGCGTTAAGGAAAAATATAAAATGTAATATTTCGGAACTTTGACGACGTAGTATGATACCTTAGACATATTAAAGCAAGTTTTGTTTAATTAGTTATGCATTTTTTTGCCTATTAGGTTCAGAAAATCAATTTTTATTTGACCCTTTGCTGCGTATTCGGACGTACGGTTTTTCAGTTTAGTTCGCAGTTCGCCGCTAGATGGCGCCACAAATTTTCTCCATAAAATGACATTTTTTTTATTTTCTTTATTAAAGCTTTCAGGAAACTTTTATTACTTTATTTTGCTTCTAAGGCGATCACATAACACTTTCTGGGCCTGACAGGTACTCAAAGTTCGCTAATATTCGAGAAAATCGCATTTTTATATTTTTGTAGTTCCAACTTTCACCGCTAGATGGACGCCAATTTTTTAGTCCATGTGTTGGACTATTTTTGTATTTTCTTTTCTAGCGCTCTGAGGAGGTTCTTGTGGCATTGTATAAGTTCTAGAGATGTCACAGAACAATTTCTGACCCTCAGAAATACGTAAAATTTCCTAATTTCGGAGAAAATAGAAATTTTAGTGGTTCGTAGTTCCACCACTCGCCGCTAGAGGGCGCCACCTGTACCGTTTTGGACCGAATTCGACAAAAATTGATTTTCTGGCTTTATTAGGCATCGAAACGCATCAAACCCTAATAGAAATTTGCTTTGAAATATTGCACTTTGCATGCGCAGTAGAATTGACACAGGTGGCTCTTGTACTTACGTATCGGAATGCTGACACAAAATAATTAATTACTCGTTACCCGCACATTATTTATGAACTTTTATGATCGAATCATGTAAATAATGCATTGCTGACCATTCTTTAATTATAAAAGTTCATAGACTGTGCTTAGAAAGTGAGTAATTAACGATTTTGCATACTCATTATCGTTTTCGGTTCAATTCAATTAATATAGTTCATTTTATTAACTTAATTGATTTTACTCAATTTTAAACTATTCTTAAAATAATTCTGATTAACCTAAAAGTTTTTGTGATGATCATCAGAGTCGTCGGTCAAGAAGAATTCTGTTAGCAAAGTTGTCGATCAAGAAGAGTCCTATTTTTATTTGTGAGCAAGTGATTAATGTTTAAAGCTATCGTCGTTTGATCATATTCAATTTTATTTTAAAAACAAAATAGTTTACTATTCATTCTGTAATCAAACCTTAATTCAAGAACATGTATTAAAATTAAATTTATAATCAATTCTAATAAAATTAGTTATATTGAAAAGTTAAAAGTTAATTGATTATTTAAATATAGGGAGACAATTCCTATATTTTTATGTAATAATCCGTCATCTAGCGGTAGAAGATGAGAACTAATTAAACTACAGTTTCAAAAGTGTGTAGTTCACCCTGTAGGTCTGAGAGATGGCGCCACTTGTTCCATTTTCGAAAAACGTCAATTAATAATGATTTATTGTGAATGTTTATTATAATGTCTATTAATAATTACATCGCAAAACGAGAATAGTTAATTTAAGAATGCTTTTGATTTTATCAAGATCTTATCAATTTTGTACCATTCAACTTTTTAAAATTAATATTCCGAATAAACTATTCTCTTTTATGTAAATTTTACTATAAAATCCAATTATAAGAAGAGTTATTTGCGTTCAAATATAGTTTCTAGAATCACCTTTCTAAAACATACAGTGCATAATAAAGCAGCTTTTAAAACCAGATATATGTATATTTAAGAAAATCTTTCTCTCCACATTTATAAAGAGCAGATTTATGGAAGTTTCTCATATTTAATAATTCCATATCTTTATTTTTCAATCTCTATTAACACTCACACTTTATAATTTTAAATTAATAATTATTTATTCTCTAAATATAAAGAGTAAATGTAAATGGTAATGAAATATTAAATATTATAATAATAATTAAAATTAGTAATTGTTAAAATTGTACTAAATGATAAATAATGGCAGATTATTATGCAAGTAACAAAATGTTATTCAGAATATCAAAGGAATTCCTTTCTATTTTGACAATCCTTTATTCTACTGTACAATATTACAGTATCTTGTTTTACAATTCGTATATATACAATTATGTTATACGACGGTCGTCTTGTAAAAGATCCTACACGTTACATCAAGCTTTGTAATTTGTCATTTATATACAAACTTGGTAAATCTAATTTTCATAATGAAGAACGACCGAACATGGATAGTGATCAATGGGCATGATTTAAATTCATTAACTGAAATTTATACATAAACTATTTTTGAGTATTACAAATCGAAGCATATGTCGACGTCATGTAGAAGAGACATTATGAATCCATTAAAATTAATAAAACAGTAAATTTGTTCGATTACAATTTTTACGAAAAATTATAATGACTCACGACATTGATAAGAAAATATTTTATCCTTTCACATCATTATTTTTTATAAAATAGGTGAAATTAGATTTGTACACTTTTGTCGTCAAAAATTGAATACATAATGTAACTCCAACATGACGACACAACCCTCGCATAAAATATAACAAAAATATAATAAAATAAAGTGCTACGCGTTATTTCAGTCTAGAACAATCACAATACACGTTCCTTGGCTATTTAAAATAACATTCGTCAGTTATTGCTAAAACAACAAAATTTACAATAACTTGAAACTAAACACACTTTTCTACCCTTCCGTAGAATGATCAGATCAGATCATTATGCGAGTATTTCTCATACCTTAGTATTTTGTTAACAATATAAACATGACTATTCAACAGATGAAAATGCCACGTAGTTTTTTAAAGCAACTAATTATACATAATCAACAGATTTTTTCGTGTACTGTACTTTCCTGCATGTTAATATATTGTTTCTCATCCAATTTGTATCTTAGTAAATACAAAAAATTTTAAGGAATAAGATTTAACAGATGACTATTTTATCTTTTCTTAAAATATTACAATATACAGTGCCTTTTAAATTAAAGAAGAAATAAATATTCTGAATTACTGAATATTTCAGATTTAAAAATTTGTAATGTTTTCATGGATTTATATGCAAGGCGATGCTATGAATTATTATATTTGGCCACACAGACGCGAACGGCTCGCAATGACATACGAGTTAATAATGCGATAGAACGATTTTTATCTATGAACTGTGAATGTTTGTGGAACACTAGCAGTAGAATTGTACTCTGAAAGCTATTTGTTCAAAACATTATTAATAATAATCGGTCTACTCCAGTTATCAAGTACATTAAAATCTTAAAGAGCAATCAGTACCGATGCTATGTATTCTGCAAGTTAAAAACCAACTGCCACGCTTGAAAATTTTTAACAAATAATCAAGTTTTTTGGTCCATTTTTTCAATATATACTTAAATATTTTTCACAACGTATTATGTTACTTTAACTTCAAATTTTAATTATGATTGTTTTCCAATTTTCATTAAAAAAAGAAAATTATAAACCGCGTGTAATGAAATAAAATTTTAATTGTTTGTACTTTAAGCTATGTTAATAAAAATAAGAGTTTCGTAACAGTTGCTTAAAAAGGAGTATTAGACAATAGTACAAGCATTTTTTGACAAGTGTAAGAAAACAACGTATAGAAAATAATAAAAATAATATAATACAGATAAATTATTATAAAATTATATATCATAGAATATTTAAATGCAATATAGTTTTTAAAATAATTCGAGATTTAAAAATAATAAAACATAAATTTCTTTCCTATTTACATTTTCTAGGAGAAATTTTTATTCGTCCACGGTTTTTATAACTCAATTAAAAAATTAAATAATGAAACATATAAAATTCGTGTTATCTTTCCGTTTACTTTGTTAGTTGTTGCAATATACGTTGTTAGCGCACTCCTTATGTGTTTGTCGGCTTATGTTCAAGATTGTAGAAAAACTAAATCCTTAATAATAATGACAATATTAATAATACTAATTAGTATAACTAATAGGATCACATCTTTGGTACACGATACGTCTGTTTCAACAAACTCTCTGTTGCTTCCTAACATCTACGGCAAGATGGGCCAAATTAGATAGTTTATCTTTGCACTGAACTCTCATTGTCATAATATCGTAAGCTTTCAGAACAGGGCAAGATCTATGCTTCCATTATCACTCGTGTAATAACTTCCTGTCAAATAGTTTGTCATCTAAAAACGACTATTTTACATTTTGTGTAACAGTCTTCATTTGCATTATTAAATTCCTCTTAACTTCTTAATGATAGGTTTTACAAAGTTACTCATTTTTTCAATATCATAATGCTCATCTTTTCTTCGTTTCATATTATTTAGAATTTGGTAAATTGTGCCGCTTCGAAGAAACATATCCTACGTAAAGAAGTATAATTATAATAATATAAAATCTGAAAAATCAATTATTGTAATATAACTTACCTAGTCGCCTGGAATGTTTATGATAAATTAACATATACTAGAAATCCCATGAGTTAAACTCTTTTCAAGAACAATGTGAAACTCGCTTAATGGTTCAAGAATATGAATGAGGAAATTCAATAATGTCGCATTCCTTAAAAAGGAATTTTCTTCATACATATCCGCCGTAGAACGGGCTTCGCTCATGGGTCGAAGCATTAAATGAAGGAGCTGCTCTCTGAGGTATAAATTAACGATTAGACCCGTAGACACATAAATGACGTATGTCGGAAGCGCATAAGTAATTATGTCTTACCTCGCTGCTAAGCAAATGAACAGCTGAAACTTCCCATCTTTCCCAAGAGTTTGACTGAACATGTTAATCTGATCGATAAGGTGAGAGTAACATCTTAGAGTTGTAAATCTTTGATTGTTCGCTGAATGAACTCTCCTATCTCGGTTCAATCTTTGAGAATATTCGTCCATTTCCTCCAACAAAAATATTTCGAAGTTTTCCTTCACGCGTACTGGAAAAAAAATTTGAAATGTCACTATATTCCATTAGAAGTAATATTATCATAACCCACTTATGTATATGCATAATACACATATATCTTGTAATTAAATTTTATTAATATGAATGATGGCTTACAAAGATAATCCCACACATAGAAGTTCCTCCCAAATATCCTTTGATTTTTAAATCCAAATAAAAATATTTGTTCTAACGATGGTACAAGACCTCCCTCGCCACAAAGCAATGCTGTCAAGGAACCGTCTTGACATTCTCTTCTATAGTGAAATTTGACAATTGCGTTTACAGATTCGCCTATAATTAAATGTTACACTTTATTTTTTATGTTACATTATTTGAATTAATGAAGATATTTCAGTGAGACTTACCCAACATATGTTGCAATTCAACTTGAGATAATATTGGACGTCTAGGTATACTAGGAGATCTACATCTTGGTGGTGTTGAACATGTCTCAACTAATTCTTCACTATCAATACTACGAGGTACTAGAGCACCTACTAATAACCTTTCGGTAGAACCATCATCAATGCCTCTACCAAGCCATCTACCACAAGGAAATTTGAACGTATGCCCTGTGACTTCGTTTCTTACTACAACATGTTCCACCATCCATTTAGGTGAAAGACCTGTATTGTCATGACCTATACGTAATGTAGAAAGTACTCCCAAATTTTTGTGCTAAAACAATAATTATAAGGTTATGAAATACTTATATTTGAACAACATTTAGTATGTTGGCTAAGAACGTACATGAAACACAAATTCCAATGCTCCCTTAGGAATCGGAACAGGGTTTGTTTCACACAAAGTGCCTGAGATAGCAATCCAACTGTTAGCTGAAGTGGTAGCTGCACTTGCTTTTCGACTAGGAAATATAACCACCCTATATGGCAGTTTCGTGGTCGGATAATTATTAGTGAAACAGAAATAATCAACTGCATTCAATGTCAGAAGATGATAAAGAAACTGTTCCTTTTCTTCTTCACAACGTAAAAAAGCAGAACGCTTGTATTGACTTCTAAAAAGTAACAAAGGAGTCAAAATAACTTTAAATGACATATAAAATATGTAGTTTATTAAGGGTTTATGGACTAACCTTAATAACCTGGTATCTGACAACAGAGTTTTCAAATGACGAGAAAGGAGTTTCTTCTCAAGTGCCAATCGAACCCAAGCTCTAGCATATCCAATGTGGGTTTTGATATCGGTCATGGCTTGCACGTTTCGGATATCAAAAAGCAAAGAGTCAGGTAAAGGCCTCAGATGTTCAGGACCAATTTTCCTATCTCCAGGAGATTTATGTTTATCTGTCCCACGTGTAGGTGAATCAATTTCCAATGCCAAATTTGGTAGATCTATCCATAAAAAGAACCAAATTAGATAGGAAACTTAAAGAATATTTATCCTTCACACAGTTGAAAAAGTATTTCCACAAATGCATGCAAATAATAACGCCATGCTTTGAACAAAAACATAACGCATGCACTTTGTAAACAAATCACAAAGTACACTCTTCTTTTATGGTATACGATCACATTATACATGCTAATTTTCCAAACATTGTATCCTGGCATGATAAATGTAATTTGTAATACATAGCTTTTGAGCAATGATATTTTGTAATGAAAATACATAAATAAATGAATTTTAGATTAACTCTGATTTAAATATGTATGCATAAAAAGATTTTTACTCTCAACACCCATGCGGTTTTTGATGTCTATGTAAAATTTCAAATGTATTGTTAGAATAAACGCTAATGGATTTCTTTTGTGGCAAGCCAATGTCAAGGCTTACCATTAAAATTCTCCTTGATATAAGAAGCAATTTCAAAAATATTTCTGCCCTTTAAGGTGGAAATTAAACGGTCCGGTAATCCAAAAAAACTATTTGTAGATTTCTTGGCTAGTAGCGAAAAGAAAATGAAATACAAATAAAAATCAACTGAAAAAGAAACTACTATGTATTTAACAGAATGTTACGACTCAAAAAGTAACATTAGATATAAAATTATAATTTTATAAAGGAATAGTAGAACTGAACTAATAAAAACTTTTGCAGCAAAGTATTTTTGAACAAGAATAGTTAAGAATAGAACTTTTCGAGTTATAACATGACTATGAACACAAAATAATGGATTCAAATGAACATTATAATTTAAATAAAATAAATTTGTGCAAAGAAATGTAATGATAATTTTATTTTTACAAAATAAAACTCTACCGAATATGTACTGTATTTATAAATAATACTTAACAGCAGTAGAATATGTAATTGTGAAAAATAAATAGTTTCTAAGCAGCCAAACATACTTGTTGAAATATGATGCAGTTCAGCAATAAACATGTAGAATGATTTAAATAATTATTTATCCATAATGTGTCACTTACAACTAATACAGTGCAGAGTATCTACGTATCAGAAACTAATCTCTACTTTTTTAACACTTTATTTGAAATAAAATAAGACACGTACAATCGAGTCGTTTCCGCAGCACGCACCACGCTAACGCTGCATTTCCAAATATCATAAAATTCAATAATCTTTGTGTTCTCGAAAATGAAACATGATTGTGCAGCAATATTTGATGAGAACTAACAAACTTTCACTTACCAGGAGAAAGAAAATTAGGATCTATGGGTTTACTCGGATCGTTACACTCTTCCAGTGCTTGATACATGGTAAGGTGTGACCAAAGAGCGCTTTTTCCTTGCTTATTTTGCAATCCGTGACTCCAAACTCGTTCCAAAAGATCACACAAACTGGCGACCAACGTATTTTCTTCCACGTCGGATAACGATTCTCCACCATGACCTAATGCAACAGCTTCAGAACCCATCTTCTCTACTAACATTCTTTTTGTTTTTGACTTGCAATCCTTAAAATAGGAAAACGTAAATTTAACGTATTTTCTTGTTACTGGGGATAGCTTCATAGTAAATGGATATACCATTTTTCGACAACACATTTCTAATTTTTTAAATAAATTATAAGTCTCAGAAAAATATATTCTATAATATTCTCATATGTTTAATCGACGGATTTCTGTTTCTTGATTGTACCTTGAGCAATTTTTCAACAAACGTCCAGTTAGCTTGCGCTATCAAGGCTGGACTCATGTCTGCTGAGAGCTTGGTTTGTGGTCGAGGCGATTGAGTTTCTTGAGGTGCCGTTGTTTTACCGTTCGAGTCCATAGATTTCATTTTATACTTCCATTGAGTCTGTCCTCTTCGACTACTGTTAAGTATAAAATGTTAATTAGAATTATTTTTAAAATCTTTAAAAATATAGTTACATAATATACAAGAGAATAAAAATAATACTGACTTACAATATTCTCAAATCAATAACAACTAATTTTTTTTACATTAATTAAGCTTCAGTAACTAACAAAGATAAGTTGTAAATTCTATTTCAAAGATTTCTCTAAAATATAATAAAATAAGGGATAGTAATATATTTATACAAACTTATTACACATGCGTAATGTTGTTCAATTTCTTACCGAAGTATACTACACGTAAGCAGGAAAAAGAACAATAAATGTCAATATTTTTCAATTTAGTATAAGAATATCTGTTTTATAAATGTTAATGTTTTTACACTCAAATATATACCTTTGAGCCGGTTCCTTGTTTAAAGCAACGATGTCTAGCAGCGGGAAACTTCTAAAATACGCCGCTCTATGAGGAAGAATCTCTGTGGGTGGGTTTGTTTCAAAATCCACATTCGTTAATCTTTGCTCCAAAACTTTCTGGGACTCTTCTATACTAGAACACGGCTCGTAACGTGTTGACCGTATGATACCCTCGCCAACTTTTTTTCTGTAACAAATAAAAATAGTAAACACTGTAGAAAGATTATGGTGTAATGTTATCAATCGATTTTAAAAAGATTATTTAATATTTTTATTTGCCTGTACTTACCTTAAGAGAGAAATTCTTTGATCAAAAACCCGTATGTTGAAGTCTAACTCACTCCACGTTGACATAACTTTGCTATCGACCAGAGAAGCAAACATTTGTGTTTCCAGGAATCTCGACAGAAATGGCAAATGCTGCGTGGGTTGATCGGATAAAAATGTGGCTTTATCAAAAACATGCATACTATCCCTGTTATTTAGCCACTCGTCCTTATCCTGCAAAACAAAATTATTTTTTTTTAATACAGTTTTGTGATACGACATGAATTATACAAATAATATATCGTACCTGGCTTGGCTGAATAACGAAATGTTCATAGCTAGAAAAAATCTGTACAAAACGATTCAAAAAAATCTCTCTAATGGCATTATTGAACATAAGCATCTCCTGGTACTCTTCCTGAGGCGTGAGTATTTGTTCCTTAACATTATTATCTTCAACCGACTCAATATCTTCTACGTTTACCCCTAAAAAAAGTTTTTTTTTTAACATAACATATTGCATATTTCATAAGATATTGTTATCCATATATAGAAGTAAGATGTAAGTACATGTATAGATGTAAGAAAAGTAGTTAAATAATCGTAGTTCTGTTGGAAGTGAAGAAAACTTGTTTTGGTATTTTTGTTAATCAGAATATACCTGTCCTTTTAACGATATCTACTATCCTCTGCAAAGTGTCCGATTGCGGAGTCGGTTCCGGCCGATCCCAATCCAATACGTCATGTAACGAATGTTTTCTTCGAGGAAGATGGAATCCAGAACCAGGAAGCGTCAAACTACTTGTCATGATGTCGCCGTTATAATGATTTATGACCATATTATCAGTCCTGGAAGAAATTTTAATTCAGAAATGTATATCAAACGAAGAAGAGAAGCCGAATAGGATAATGTTTGAACTTACTTTCCTGTAAGTGGTACTTTGTACTTGTTTAAGAGAGCTCTAATTTCAGAAATGAATTGCATCTTATGAGGAAATACGGGTAACTCTTCTGGAAATTGACTACTTTGCTTATCTATATCTACATAACAAAGATTTGCCTGTAATTAAAAAATGTAATGTCAAAAATTTATAAAGTTATGAGTTATAAGTTATAAAATTAACACTTTACTCTGAATTAAAATAAATGTTCCAGCAGAAACTAACATTTATTTAAACTACGAATATGACAATTATTTTTTGTACTTTTAATAATCTTTTTACGGTATAAAATGCAGTCTCACTATAAGGTTTCTATTTATATGGCCTGATCAGCAAACTTACTTTCATACATATTTCCAAATTTTTTAATTAAAAATCTAAGAAAGTTAAAAGCTTAGTTCTAGTTCATAATTCATCCGTGGTCACATAACAGTTCTCGCGCTTAGAACCTCAATCATGGCCATATAGCGAGACGGTAATTATTTCTTTTCACAATAAATTCGATTAACGGCGATTTTCAGAAAGAAAATTTAATAACCATCAAATTGGAAGGAGATAACACTCACTTCGCTAGCAATTTTCAGTACACCGCCCTCGCTTTGCGCGTGCAAGCCCATTATAAATGGCACAGGCGCGTCCAAGAAATGATGTAAACTGGCGGGCAATATCGGCACGTATACATGTTGCCAAGAAAATGGAAAGAGAAGCGCTGTTATACACTCGGACACCACCATCAACTTATGGAAATCTGAGCTCCTAAGCAACACTTGATTCTCCAATAACACACACGTGAACAACTGAATAACGCAATCAGCGCCAAGCCATGTGAACATATCTTTCAGGGGGTAATCTAACATCGGTAACTCCTGCGATGGTGTTGGCTGATGTATCACCAATTCCAATGGTGATTTTGCCGGTTCATCGTTGGGAACAAAGAACTTTAACGACTTTCCAGGCAATGGTACCGGTACGTTGTAAAGGAGACTGTATACGTAGGATTCTAAACTAAGACCAGGTCCTGGATGTCTAGGAACACATCTGAAAACAAGTACAAATCAATTAATTTATAATCTACCTTACTTTATAAATTTAACTTCAATAATTTAACTAAAGTAAAATTTATAATATACAATAGTTCACAACATACAACTACTATACTCAGTTTGTTTTTTCTTAGTATCCCTAATATAATATATTCAAGTATACTTTAGAGTTCAAGCATAATAGGATCAAATGTATTTCATTCATTCACACATTAGCTATAGCATACAGAATATGTAATAGAAAAATAACTGAGAACATTGTTCCTAACATTTTCAAGGTCATTGCAATTAGTAATATGTATCTATTTCTATAGAAATAGTTATTTTTAATTAACAAAAAGTGATACTCTAAAGAACTTAAATTTTCATATACATATATACACTTTTTAATCTGCACAACCCAAATTGTAAAACTTTCAGAACGGTAGTTCCGTGTTAGTATTTAATGTATGGTAGCATCTAGTGTTAGCAGCTGCTTCAGTCTGAAAGTCCTGTTGATGATGAACGTCGTCTCTCAGAACGGTTTTCCACATTATCAAGCCAGACGACAATGGCACGTCGTTAAGATGATAATCTAGGAGGTTTACTTACTTGTAGAGATTAGTGAGGAACGTTTTCGCGGCATGAAGGTAAGGCTGCTGGCATAGCAAAGATATCGATTTAGTCACTAGCAGCTTGTCTTTGGTAGAGTCATAGTAGCCTAACGCAGCGCTCGGTGAATGCGCTGATAGCTTGAAATGCCGTGGCAACGATCGCGTGTTATGTCCATCCTGGCCTTTCCTTACCCTGAAAATGTAATCATATTAGAGACTTTCACGCATTACACGTCGTTGCACGCTAGTCTGTGATGAACTCTAAAAATGAAGCATGATGGACATCGACCTCAGATCAGTCGCGACGAAATGAAAAGATTATAGGGTTTCAGATAATTAAATTCTTCATTTCAGTCCATCTACAATTGAAGATTCATTTTTAACCGAATCTTTAATTAAGAATTAAATTGAAATCATTCTAGCGATTTTGTAATTGAAAGTTAAAATTAAATTTTTAATTCGAACTTGCCATATTAAAGATTAATATTAATTTTGATGGATAGCTTTAATTTGATGATTAGCTAATAATTAATGTACAATTGTTAATTGAAACTTGTTGAATTTAATTAAGAACTACAATTTTTTAATTGATTTGTATCTAAAACATTTATTAATAACATCAGAAACAAGCTATTTAAAATGATAATGTTTCCACTCCCTGTATACAGTGTTTTTAGAAAGGTTCGTTCAAACTTATATTATGTATTACTATGGCCAAGAAGATGAAAAGAGTTCACATAAATAAATGTCAGAAAATGCTGTATTGAAAAGATATGTGCTTTTAAAGATATTTATGATTTACAGTTACAGAAAATGTTTGGAAATTCCAGTATGCAATAATACAGGAAACAGAAGATTCGCTGATATCAAGAATTTATTATAACATCTATCATCTTTTTCGAACGAATAGAAACACTTCGGCGACCGCCAACCGAAATTGTAATACACACGTATCATATGATTACCCGAACAGCATCGAAGGGATACGAAGTTACCCGACGTGCTATTCGTTCGTTTACCGCGAATTTTACTACAGAAATACGTCGTGTTAGGTTTCATTTTTACCGAGAAAATGACATCAATACGTTGGAAATGGTTTCATAACAAAAAATCAAACAAAGTATCATCCTTGCATTCCCACCTACTGTTAGGTTTTGTTTGTTTATGTTCTGTCGTTTTCGTCGTTTTCTTTTCTACGTTTTGGGAACTTTGACAATTTTTAGAGATTAGAAATGAAGAGTACAGCCATTTCTGTAAGCTTGAAGCACCAATTTGGTATGTTGTATGATTTATTGTATTGTGATGTAGTCGCATCAGATTCTCAACTTTTTTAAATCCACCGGTTTATATACAAGACGTAATAAATATTTGGAGATAGCCTGGAGGCGACAGTGTACCAAGAGAAGATACAGGGAGATAAACAAAGTTAGAAGACGACTCACGTTGGTGGTGTACCGTTTTGACCGCTGCTCAGTTCCGTGATATGCATCGCCTGCAGGGTTTGCATAGCCGCGCATATCTTTCGATTCCGGCACTCCTCGTAGAAAACAAGGCTGAACCCGTACGTTCTGTGACCGTCTTCCTTGGTAAGTACGAACGAGTGGAACGTCGGTTCTACAGAGTGTTTCTGTGTTCGGAATCTCAGGCCGCTCGGTAAGCAGAGCTGCAAAAGATTGAATATCTAATGAACACAGACACGTTGCTGTACATACATACATATGCACACATACGACACAATTTTTTTTCTTTTTTTTCATCCGCAACTGGGACGATAACGTGTACACCGTTGATTGCGGAATGTATACTGGGTGACCCATTTGAAGTGAACCATGCAATTTCTAAAGTATTTCCTATTGAAATTTTGAAATTTCAAGCTTAGCAACAGATTTATTGAAAGCCAAAATATAAACTGGAATTTTCCACGTTGATTTTAGCATAATATCGAAGTAAGCAATGGGTTCATCAAAATATATATATTCCCCAAAACTTGTGCTTTTGAATTGTTGAATTATATTAAGTAAATTAAATGTTTTTTAGCATACCATGCAGACAGCGTGTTCGTCGAAAGGGTTCCATGGTACAGAGACCGGATAATGTCCTAAAACTTTGCTTTTGTATGCTCGGTCCAAAGGAGTACATTGCAAAGAGTCCCCTGAAACAAAAAGTCATAATATTTTGTTATTAATTAATTATTCAAAGTTTCATGTATTTAATGTATAAATTTTTATTTCTTGAAATTTATTCATTTTTTTGGACATTAATTATTATAATTATTTAATAATTATTTTCATAATTCATAATATTTATATATTAACAATATAAGTGTATACATATGTAGAATTATTGTAATTATTGTATATACATATATTATAAATTATATACAAGTAAATAATTATTAATATGTATATTTATATAAATATTAATATTAATATTATTCATATTAATAAATATTAATATGCAATATTATGTATTAAAAGTACACATTTATTTAGGTGTACATAATTTCACAATTTTAATAATAATATAAGTTTAAGCATAATTTTACTAATTAGTAAATTAATTTATAAATAAATTCTCATAAAAACTGAAAAGTGTGAAGTTTAAACTCTATTAAATTAAATTAAAATTATGACATCCATAAAATTGTACCTAATTTTTAATTAAAACAAAATGTAATTAAGCTGAAAAAGTAAAAATTAATTATGCGTAAGTAACACATTCAAAGTAAATAGACACATGCTTTCAATTTGCATCTCAATCTTTTATCTGATAATTGCATCACTCAGAAACGAAACTTGATAGCGTGACATTTATAATCAAAAGCAACACGCAACGCAAATGATGAGCAGTAATGCTCGTTAAGGATAAACCGAGACCGTGACCTTTCGGTCAAGTGCTTAAAGCTTAGAAGCATACAGTTTGTGCAGCTTAAAAATTCAACTTTATAGTAAACATGTTTTCCATATCGCCACAGTATAGTATCCAACAACGCTCCAACAATATTTATAAGTATTAATAACGTTGAAATTTTTGCAATATTCGTAAATTTCTATTCAAATTAAACTTGTCAGTATACATTATTCATGCAATAATACTTCTTCCTTTCAAGGAATACGAACTAGTATGAATGGATTCGAATAACAAAATAGAATTACGGTGAAATAACGAAATGCAAAAACTATGCATTTTTGTATTGCATAAGTACAAAATTAAACTCCATTCGCATGAATGCACGATTCTTTCCCTTCGCGTAGTCGGAACGCATCTCACAAGAAGGCGGCCGCCGGAAACGCGACTGGCGCAGCTGCCAACTTCTTTTACATATAAGATACTCGTCTTAAATTTACTAGACATACATTAGAGATGATATGTTCACTATATTCCAATAATGATTAATTTATTAATTTAGAGTTACACATAAACTATGATAATGTTTAAAGAGACGAGTATTTTAGATGTTGACAATTTTCTGAAATGCCTATAAATCGATTTTTGCACTTTCCAACAGATCTATCCTAACCTAACTGATACCTAACCAGATCTAACTTAGACCTAACCTAGATCTAGCCCACACCTAACCAGGGTCTAACCTAACCTGAGCTAATCTAACCTAAACCTAACCTAGATCTAACCCAACCTGACCTATATCTAAGACGACCTAACCTATGCCTAATAAGATCTAATCTGATCTAACTTATACTATCTAATATAGATCTAATTGAATCTAACCCTATCGTAACTCGATTTTATATGGATCTAACCCAATCTAACCCAATTTAATCTAGATCTAACCCAATCTAACCCAATTTAATCTAGACCTAACCCAACTAGCATAGACTAACTCCACCTAACCTAGATCTAACCTATGACTAAACCGACCAAGTATATGTGTAACTATGCTTAATCAGACCTAACCTATACTTAACTGGGTACAAGTTAAGATAAGTATAAATTAGGTTAGTTTAGATGTAGGTTTTATATTTAATATTAATAAATTCATAATAAAATTGAATTACGTTCATAAAATCCATATAAACGTTCATGAATTGAAGAAGAAAATTAATGTCTTTTAATAAGTTCACCATATACAGATACAAAAAATGTAACAGTTAATCAGCATTCTCTCATTTCGAAATCAAAATTACAGCAATCCGCCAGATTCTTTCCATCCATCACACAATAAAATTTTAACGAGGTCCAAGAAGAATTTCTAAAAATTTTCTCGACAGCGGCCTTCTAGCAAAAGATAATTAGTCCTCGTTCTTCAAGGAAGATTTAAGTCGGTCAAACATTCCAAGGGAACATTGTGACATGCATACGGGTAGAAAAAAAAATAATCCCGGTTTAAAGGGGAACGTGTTCCAGTAACCGAGCCGCGTGTATTCACTCCAGTTTGCACATTGTTCACAGCCTAAACACTGCCTAAGTGCATCGAGTAAAGCTGTAACTTTGAACGCACATGGACACACACGGAAAAAAATACAGAAGAAAAGCGTTTCCTTCTTTTCTGCAAAAAATTAGAATCTCTCCAACAGCAACGTCGGCAACTTGTTATTGAACGTGGTACATATCCCAGAGCAACTCGACCTGAATGAGACTGTTGAAGTCTTGGCACGGTTCCAGCTATCTCGTGTACAACGAACACAACAGCACCCTTGTACGGGGTTAATCGTTCATGATCGAACCACCCAAGGAGACAGTGAAATGTATACGATGTAGACTCGTCCAGCGAGAATAATTACATGGAGAAATAATTAGATACGGATACAGCTTTCGGAAGGTACAGCAGCGTTCAAAACTTTTGCATGCCTACTGTATTTGTGCGCTGCAGCGAAAAGTTACGAAGGATGGTAGTAGTGACTTGCGGCTTTACGTTGTAGGTACAATCTTCAAATAAAGTACAAAATCTCCAAATTGTTAGATTACAAAATTTTTAATGTACATTTAAACGTGTGGTTTTTCAAATATTAAAATTTCCAAAATCCAAAATTTTCAAATCCAAAAATTACCAAATTCCAAAATTTCCAAATTTTCAAAATTACTAAATTCCAAAACAACCAAATTCCAAATTTTCCGGACTGCAATTTCCAAAATTCCAAATTCCCCAAATTTAAAATTCCCCAAATTCTAAATTCCCCAAATTCCAAATTCCCCAAATTCCAAATTCCCCAAATTCCAAATTCCCCAAATTCCAAATTCCCCAAATTCCAAATTCCCCAAATTCCAAATTCCCCAAATTCCAAATTCCCCAAATTCCAAATTCCCCAAATTCCAAATTCCCCAAATTCCAAATTCCCCAAATTCCAAATTCCCCAAATTCCAAATTCCCCAAATTCCAAATTCCCCAAATTCCAAATTCCCCAAATTCCAAATTCCCCAAATTCCAAATTCCCCAAATTCCAAATTCCCCAAATTCCAAATTCCCCAAATTCCAAATTCCCCAAATTCCAAATTCCCCAAATTCCAAATTCCCCAAATTCCAAATTCCCCAAATTCCAAATTCCCCAAATTCCAAATTCCCCAAATTCCAAATTCCCCAAATTCCAAATTCCCCAAATTCCAAATTCCCCAAATTCCAAATTCCCCAAATTCCAAATTCCCCAAATTCCAAATTCCCCAAATTCCAAATTCCCCAAATTCCAAATTCCCCAAATTCCAAATTCCCCAAATTCCAAATTCCCCAAATTCCAAATTCCCCAAATTCCAAATTCCCCAAATTCCAAATTCCCCAAATTCCAAATTCCCCAAATTCCAAATTCCCCAAATTCCAAATTCCCCAAATACCAAATTCCCTAAATTCCAAATTCACCAAATTCCAAATTCTCCAAACACCAAAATCTCTATATCGCAAATTCCCCAAATTCCCCAAATTCCAAAATTTCCAAATTTGAAAGTTTCCAAATTTCCAAAATTATCAAATTTTTCAAATTACTAAATTCAAAAATTTTCAAATTTCCAAAATTACTGAATTCCAAAATTCAAAAATGCCGTCTTTAAAAATCAAACAAATTGCAAATACCCAATACATATAGAAACTTCAAAATACAAATAGAAATTATAGTAAAAATACAAACAAATAGTCCGACACAGAATAATATACATTACTATACATCATTAAAAAGAATAAAAATTAATTAATCATAATTGACTCGCAGTATAATTAATGAAATTATAAATCGTACATATATCTTGTCTTTTATAATTACATTCTTTTATTGTACCTTCACAAAATCTTCTAAATTTTTCTCTAATCAAATTTTTGGAATAGAAAATATTTATTTATCATAATTTAAGAATTAAAAGATCTCTTAAAAATGGTTAGAATTAATAATGTACAATTAATAACACTAAAATTTTTGTATCTCCATTTACCTTCATTAAATTCATACTTGAAATGAACACGTCAGATATAACAATATTAAATTTACACATATATATTTAATTAAAAATTCTCTATACTAAAAACTTTAAATATTTTCACTCGCTCTCTAATTTAAAGTGAGAAGTATTTAGTTACAGTTTAAATGGAACGTGAGATCAAAGAGGCATCTTTTTAAAAAAAAAACACACATCGTGTATTCTAGAATTTGGAAAGGTTACAGAAAAGAGAGGAAAAAACGTGAAAGAGTTGAAGTGTGAGAGCTCTACAGTCAGAGTGACTTGTAGAGGTTGCAGAAAGTACTCCACTTGCATTTGAAGTGGCAGCTAATTTTTTGAATCGTTTGTTCTCACATATTTTTTAAACTTTTGTGAAAAAATTAGAAGAACAGATCTTACCGACTCTGCTGCAAATATCAATTTCTCAATTTTATATTCATTAGAAAGCTCTCAAATTTAAAATTTGTAATTTTTGAAATTTTTTTAGATTTCTTAAACTGGTCAAATATCTAAGCTTTTTAAATTTCTTAATTTTTAAAAATTTTCAAATTCTCAGATTTCTCAAATTTTTCAAGTTTCTCAAATTTCTCAAATCTCTAAATTCCTCAATCTAGAAACGTGAAATTCTCCCCGCCCCTACCATTCCTTCACGTTCCGAGCACTTCGATTGCCCGCAAGCTCTTCAGCAGACCACCGCTGCCCATAATCGTTCTAAACCAAAACCACCTATCACAAAATGTATGCACAGAAACCATACTTGCACCGTGAAAGAGT